CTCCCATACAAGCCACATTTGTGGAGAATTTGTGATCTTGTTGTCACATGCACACAATGACCACTCTTGCTGTAGGCCTCTTGGTAGCGTCTCTGACCAGTTTTCTCCTGGCTCTTTCATCCAGTTTGGAGCGACATCCTGATCCAGGGAGGGTCTGTGTTGTACCAAAATATCTTCCACTTCTTAATAATAGACTTCTCTCTGCTTCTAGGCATTGATAAAGCCTTTGACATTTTTATGGATCCTTCTCCTGACTTGTGACTGTCCACAACTTATTCCTGGAGATCTTTTGGCAGTGCCTTGCCACCCCGTTGATTGTTTGCTTCAGTTGCACTACCAGGGACTGAAATGCTCCAGGAAAGGTCTTTTCATGCTGAGCTAAACAAAATGACCACAGCTGGCTTTTGGTGCCAATGAGAAGGTGATTAGCTACACCTGACTGTTATATCTTGGATGTTAAAAGTAAATACAGCTGGATAAAACAAAAACTGTTTCTGTCTTCATTTCAGGCTGCAAAGCAACAAAATGTGGTTGTTTTTAAAGGGGATGATTCTTTTCCATACCCACTGTATCTATTAACCTCTTCACGCCGGCCGACGAACGCAAATGTGTGGCCTCCCGGCGTCTGGACCTAGACGCCGAGCGGCCGCACATTTGCGTTCTATTAAAAAAGGACATCTGCCAAGAGCGCGCCCCTGCACGCGCCGAGCACACATGTCCGGTACTCATGGAAAGGTCCTGATCTCCTCTTTCGATCGGGACCTTTCCCGATCATGTGACTGCCATGATGTCGCGTCAAGGTGGTCACATGACCCTAAACCCCACCCCGCCCTCCCGGCTTCTGGAACCCTTAAAGGGCCGGGAGGAGCCAGCGTGAAGGGGTTAAAATACCATGTTTGCATCCTGGCAGATATAGATCTGCCTAGACATGTTTATAAGGGGGTAAAATATACTAACGATCCCAGTTCATATATATAATGGCAAATGTAGTCAACACCATGACTAAGCCCTGTTGGCAGGATAAAATGTGTCGGGGGCATGGCCTGGTTGGAGCCGGGTTGTGTCTTGTGTGTGGCATTTGGATCATGACTGTGTACTGAGCAAGGATGAGCTCTTTCTATGCTGGAACCATCTCCTTGTCAGTCACAGGAGTCTACTGGGGACCTGGAGCAGCACCCTAAATGTTTTTTAACCACTTACCCGCCGCCGTATAGCAGGTATACTGGTACACGGTGGCACGGGTGCGCAAAATCACGTATATATACATGATTTTGCATTTCCGGGTAGGGGGCGCTCCCTATCCGCGTTCCCTACCCGCGCTGCCGTTCGCACCCGCGGATGTCATTCACCGGGTCCAGGCCAGTGATTACCCACCGGCACCCAGAGATTACCGACAATCACTGATGGGGAGGGGTTAAGGCCAACTATGGATCATGCCCCTTGGGTACACTTGTGCTGCTCATATAAAGATAACCAAAAGAAGTTTTAAGTAAGAAGACTTTTATTTGTGGGTGCCAAACCGTGAAATTTTGTAGATTCAAGGGGGAGAAAAAAAAAAATCACCCATTGGGCTACACTAGGACCGGCATTTTTCAAATTGTTTTGTAACCCCGGGTTCAGGCATCTATGTAAACACCCCCCAATGGTCTGTTATAAAAGACCCCAAAATGACTCTGTAACCGACACTGTGTAAGAATACCGGAACCTACCTGGTATCTCCTGGACAGGAAAAAGGAGGAGTAGCATGGGACTGCCTGATGCCCCCTATACTGCATTACTCTTCCCATGCAAGATGAAGAACAAGCACACGACCAACTGTGACAGTTATCATTCATGGCAGGGCTGCCATTGGAAACAACGGGGCCCCATACAGTCAACCTGACAGGGCCCCCCTCCCCCCCCAAAAAAAAATGGTTTTCTATGCTTCAGAAAGGAATGTATACAGTGAGTGAGCGCTACTGATCACTCATTGTGTTCATTCAAGAAAAGGGTCTGGTAAATGTGACACTGCCACATATGGCACTCTCCATCCTAAAGGATCCTATTGTGTGCTTGCAGCTGTTGCTGGGAAGGAGAGGAGGGAAGCTGGAAGCACTGCAGAGGAGGGGGGGCAAGGGAAATGTATGGTGAACAGGGAGGGTGATGGGTGTGGTGGGAGGGCAATTACTTACCCAAGTCACTGGACTACAAATGCCATTACAATGCTGCTGCCAGACTCATCCACCTTACCAACCACTCAGTGTCCTCCACCCCTCTCTGCCAATCCCTCCATTGGCCTCCATTCAGTGTCCTCCACCCCTCTCTGCCAATCCCTCCACTGGCTTCCCATTCAGTGTCCTCCATCCCTCTCTGCCAATCCCTCCATTGGCCTCCATTCAGTGTCCTCCACCCCTCTCTGCCAATCCCTCCACTGGCTTCCCATTCAGTGTCCTCCATCCCTCTCTGCCAATCCCTCCATTGGCCTCCATTCAGTGTCCTCCACCCCTCTGCCAATCCCTCCACTGGCTTCCCATTCAGTGTCCTCCATCCCTCTCTGCCAATCCCTCCATTGGCCTCCATTCAGTGTCCTCCACCCCTCTCTGCCAATCCCGCCACTGGCTTCCCATTCAGTGTCCTCCATCCCTCTCTGCAAATCCCTCCATTGGCCTCCATTCAGTGTCCTCCACCCCTCTCTGCCAATCCCTCCACTGGTTTCCCATTCAGTGTCCTCCATCCCTCTTTGCCAATCCCTCCACTGGCCTCCACTCAGTGTCCTCCACCCCTCTCTGCCAATCCCTCCACTGGCCTCCATTCAGTGTCCTCCATCCCTCTCTGCCAATCCCTCCACTGGCTTCCCATTCAGTGTCCTCCATCCCTCTCTGCCAATCCCTCCATTGGCTGCCACTCACCCAACAAATTAAATTAAAAATACTAACAACTTACAAAGCCATCCACAACTCTGCCCCCAGTTACATCACCAACCTAGTCTCAAAATATCAACCAAATCACACTCTTCATTCCTGCTCTCTAGTTCCCTTGTCACCTCCTCCCATGCTCACCCACAGGACTTCTCCCGAGCCTCTCCCATCCTGTGGAACTCCCTACCCCAATCCATCTTGGCCATCTCCTACTCTGTCCACTTTTAGGCGATCCCTGAAAACTTTTCTCTTCAGAAAATCCTATCCTGTATCCACCTAACTGTACATGTATTTTCTCCATCAGCCAATCCCCCACAGTTATTAACTTTTCTATCACTTGACCCTCCCCTTTTAGATTGTAAGCTCTAACGAACAGGGCCCTCCGATTCCTCCTGTATTCAATTGTATTGTAACTGTGCCAAACACAGCTCACACAGTATTTCTCAATGGCTGCAAGAATGCAGCCAGAGAGAAGGAGAAATTATTGCTTTTACAGTCTTTATGGGCGTAAAAGCAATCAGTGTAAAATAAAAAAAAATCTTCAACACCCCTGACATGTAGTTCAGTGTCACTATGGTGGCACTGTACTGCAAGGGTCACGGTATGTTAAAAAAAAAAAACATAAATAATAATATTAAAAAATTAAATAAAAATGTTAAAAAAATTTATGAAAAATTATAATTTGTGGTTATAAACTAATTTGGGTTATTTTTGTTTTTACTAAAAAGATAGACGAATACATTTTGGCCAAGATTTAAGAAGAAAGATTATTTATTTGCAAACGTTTATGAGAAAAACACTTTTTTTCAAAATGTTTGGACTTTTTCATTTATATAGCAAAAAAAAATAAAAATCCCAGTGGTGAATAAATATCACCAAAATAAAGTTTTATCTGTCTCAAAAAAATGCTAAAAAGTTAATTTGGGTACAGTGGGGGTTTTTTTAACTAAAAAGATAGATGAATATATTTTGGCCAAGATTTATGAAGAAAGATTATTTATGTGCAAAATTTTATAAGAAAAACACTTTTATTTCAAAACCTTTGGACATTTTCATTTATATAGCAAGAAAACAAAAATGATCCCAGTGGTGAATAAATACCACCAAAATAAAGTTTTATCTGTCTCAAAAAAATGCTAAAAATTTAATTTGGGTACAGTGGTTTTTTTTACTAAAAGGATAGATGAATACATTTTGGCCAAGATTTATGAAGAAAGAATATTTATTTGCAAAATTTTATAAGAAAAACACTTATTTCAAAACTTTTGGACATTTTCATTTATGTAGCAAAAAACAAAAACAAAATCCCAGTGGTGAATAAATATCACCAAAATAAAGTTTTATCTGTCTCAAAAAAATGCTAAAAAAATTCATATTGGTACAGTGGTTTTTTTTTACTAAAAAGATAGATGAATACATTCTGGCCAAGAATTATGAAGAAAGAGTATTTATTTGCAAAATTTATTTATTTTTTTCAAAATGTTTGGACTTTTTTCATTTATATAGCAAATAAAAATATAAATCCCAGTGGTGAATAAATAAAAAATGCTAAAAAATTCATATGGGTACAGTGTTTTTTTACTAAAAAATAGCTGAATACATTTTGGCCAAGATTTATGAAGAAAGATTATTTATTTGCAAAATTTTATAAGAAAAACACTTTTTTTCCCCAAATTTTTGGATTTTTTTCATTTATATAGCAAAAAAAAAAAACCATTCCAATGGTGAATAAATACCACCAAAATAAAGTTTTAGCTGTCTCAAAAAAAATGCTAAACAATTCATATGGGTACAGTGTTTTTTTTTTTACTAAAAAGATAGCTGAATACATTTTGGACAAGATTTATGAAGAAAGATTATTTATTTGCAAAACTTTATTTTTTTTTCAAAATGTTTGTACATTTTTCATTTATATAGCAAAAAAAAAAAAAAAAAATCCCAGTGGTGAATAAATACCACCAAAATAAAATTTTATCTGTCTAAAAAATAGCTAAAAAATGAATTTGGGTACAGTGTTTTTATTTTACTAAAAAAGACAACTGAATACATTTTGGCCCAAATTTATGAAGAAAGATTATTTATTTGCAAAATTTATTTGGGCTGAAGGTTTATAAGCACACCCATTTCTTTTTTTTTTTTTACCTATTTCCTCCAGATGGACGATATAAAAGGTACAACAAGGAAGGATCTCCAGTTGTCCCCCCAGATGGTCAAGGAGACCATGATGTCAAGTCTAGTTCTTCAGAGACCACCAATGGGTCAGATCTTCATCCAGCACCTCAATGTGCAGACCCATCATCTAGTCCACCTCACCCCATGGACCATCGTGAGACTGGTAGAGCGGGGGAAACGTTGCCTTGTTCCATGTGTGGGAAGTTGTTCGTCTGTAAGGCCAAGCTCATCTCCCACAAGAGGGTTCACACGGGGGAAATGCCGTATTCTTGCTCCGAATGCGGGAAACGTTTTTTCCAGAAGTCCTCTCTTAAAATGCATGAAAAGGTCCACACGGGAGACAAGCCGTATTCCTGTTCTGAGTGCGGGAGATCTTTTTCCGAAAGGACTAACCTTGCTAAGCACGAGCGGACCCACACGGGGGAGAAGCCATTTTCCTGCTCCGAATGCGGTGAATGTTTCACCCAGAAGTCCACTCTGATTAGACATGAGAAAGTCCACACCGGGATAAAGCCGTTCTCCTGTTCCGAGTGTGGGAAATGCTTTACCGAGAGGACCACTCTCGTCGCACACCAAAGGACTCACACGGGGGTGAAGCCGTATTCGTGTTTTAGTTGCGGGAAATGTTTTGCCCAGAAAGCAACTCTTATTAAACACGAAAAGGTCCACACGGGTGAGAAGCCCTATTTGTGTTCCCTGTGCGGGAAACGTTTCACGGATAGGTCGCGTCTCGCCAACCATCAGAAGACTCACACCGGAGTGAAGCCGTTTACGTGTTCCGAATGTGGAAAATGTTTCACCGAGAAAACGTCGCTCGTGAGACACGAGAGACTTCACACAGGGGAAAAGCCGTTTTCTTGCACGGAGTGTGGAAGATGTTTTACTCAAAAGTCAACTCTTGTCAAACATGTAAAAGTTCACACTAGGTGATGGGAAATGTGAAACCTTTATATAGAACAATGGTTTGTTACATCAGGACTGTGGGAGCGCTCCGTCCTGCACTTCTACAAAGGAGCGCAAGGTACAACTGTTTACATGGCTAACGTAAGCTGCTCTGCTGAAAAAAAAAAAAGTTGTTTACCGAGCTCAGTAGCTGAAGCACAGATTATAAATGTTTTTGAATGAGTTAGAGAATTGACTTAAAGCGGAGTTCCACTCCTCCTCCCCCCTCCATTACCATATTTGGCACCTTTTGGGGGGGGGAGCGGATACCTGTTTTTGACAGGTACCCACTTCCAGCCCCTCCTCCCTCCCGCAGTGTCCTGGGAACTTTCACAGGTCCCAAAAGACTGCTGGACCAATTAGGACACAGGTGTCAAACACAAGGTCCGTGAGCTGAATCTGGCCCTCCAGGACATTTCATGTGGCACAGTGCAGCTGCAGCACCCTCTTATCTCTGCCTCCCCTGGTCTCAGCACTCAGCAGACCCTGGTAACTGACTCCACTCCTCCTCTGGTCCTCCTCCACTCCTTCTCTGGTCCTCCTCCAGTCCTCCTCTGGCCCTCCTCCACGCCTCCTCTGGTCCTCCTCCACTCCTCCTCCGGTCTTCCTCCACTCCTCCTCTGGTCCTCCTCTGGTCCTCTTCCACTCCTCCTCTGGTCCTCCTCCACTCCTCCTCTGGTCCTCCTCCACTCCTCCTCTGGTCCTCCTCCAGTCCTCCTCTGGTCCTCCTCCACTCTTCCTCTGGTCATCTTCCAGTCCTCCTGTGGTCCTCCTCCAGTCCTCCTCCGCTCCTTCTCTGGTCCTCCTCTAGTCCTCTGGTCCTCCTCCACTCCTCCTCTGGTCCTCCTCTGGTCCTCCTCCACTCCTCTTCCGGTCCTCCTCCAGTCCTCCTCTGGTCCTCCTCCACTCCTCTTCCGGTCCTCCTCCAGTCCTCCTCTGGTCCTCCTCCACCTCCTCCTCTGGTCCTCCCTCCGGTCCTCCTCTGGTCCTCCTCCAGTCCTCCTCCACTCCTCCTCTCTGGTCCTCCTCCACTCCTCCTCTGCCTCCTCCACTCCTCCTCTGTTCCTCCTCTGGTCCTCCTCCAGTCCTCCTCCGGTCCTCCTCTGGTCCTCCTCCACTCCTCCTCCACTCCTCCTCTGGTCCTCCTTCACTCCTCCTCTGGTCCTCCTCCTCTGCTCCTCTGGTCCTCCTCCACTCCTCCTCTGGTCCTCCTTCACTCCTCCTCTGGTCCTCCTCCAGTCCTCTTCCAGACCCTGCACTTTCTGATTTCCAGCTCTGTCCCCAAAGGGGGTGCACGGTAATGTTAGGGATAGTGTGGGATTCTTGACATCCGATGTAATGGGGGTGGGGTGCTCTGGACATTTAGTCTTACAGATACAACCGGCCCGTTGAGGGCCACCATAATGCTGATAGGGCCCGCAATGAAATGGAATTTGACATCCCTGAATCAGGAGGAGCAGTGCGACTCGCACATGCACAGTGGACACAAGCTGTCATAGCCTGGTGCTCACAGTAGAGATGGCGGCGCTGTGAAGAAGAGGAGGAGAGGGACGGTGCGGGTGAGTACATCGCTGGATCCCGGGACAGGTAAGTGTGTGATTATTACATGTCAGCAGATACAGTTCTTGTAGCTGCTGACGTTTATTAAACACTAAAAACTGCTGGGACCCCATCATTCCTGCCTCTTTGTTTAGACCAGGGTTTCTCAACCAGGGTACCACCAGAGGTTGCCGGGGGTTCCTTGAACCATGAGCAACTTCCATCTCTCAGATAACTTCCCACTAACACCATTGATCTCTTTAGCTATCTGTTAGGAGGGTAAGTCTTCCCAATGACCTCAAGTGTACGGAGCATTCTTCCCACTGACCATCACACAGGTGAGTTGTATGTAATGTCATTTTTAGCCGGGGGTCCCGGAGACCAGAAAGTTTATTTAAAGTGTTACAGAACCCACAGCAGTACAATCAGTTTGTAGATGCAGGAAAGCATGCTTGTTATACTCACTGTGAAACCTAAGGGGTTAATCCTCTGCATTGTGTAGAAACACTGTTTGATCCTGTCTTCTCTGATCCTCCCCTTTTTCCAGTGCTCCCCTCTTGTCTCCTGATAAGACCTATTATGTGAAGACACTCTGCACATGCTCAGTTTGGTATGTATTGCTAGAGAGGTTTTTTTTTCTTCTTGGGAGAGTGCATGTGATCAGCACAGAGCCAATCAGCACTGTCCAGACAGAGATCTGGGGATTTGCATCCTCCTAGAGCAGAAAGAAAACTCCTACAAGCTTTAACCAGTGCTCTGCTGGACACTGATAGAAGTCACAAGACTGCTATATACTGCTGATGAGAAAAGGTATTTAGCAGTTTATATTTACTAAAATAATTGCATTTCCATGTTCTGTGTACTGTGGGAGACCAGATATAGTAAATGCGAGGTCCGGGGAGAGCGGATATAATGAATGCGGGATCCGGGGAGACCAGATATAGTGAATGCGGGGTCCGGGGAGAGCGGATATAGTGAATGCGGGGTCCGGGGAGAGCGGATATAGTGAATGCGGGTCCGGGGAGAGCAGATATAGTGAATGCGGGGTGCGGGGAGAGCGGATATAGTGAATTCAGGGTCCGGGGAGAGCGGATATAGTGAATGCGGGGTTCGGGGAGAGCAGATATAGTGAATGCAGGGTCCGGGGAGAGCGGATATAGTGAATGCAGGGTCCGGAGAGACCAGATATAGTGAATGCAGGGTCCGGGGAGAGCGGATATAGTGAATGCAGGGTCCGGAGAGACCGGATGTAGTGAATGCAGGGTCCGGGGAGAGCGGATATAGTGAATGCGGGGTCCGGGGAGAGCGGATATAGTGAATGCAGGGTCCGGGGAGAGCAGATATAGTGAATGCAGGGTCCGGGGAGAGCGGATATAGTGAATGCAGGGTCCGGGGAGAGCGGATGTAGTGAATGCAGGGTCTGGGGAGAGCGGATATAGTGAATGCAGGGTCCGGGGAGAGCGGATATAGTGAATGCAGGGTCCAGGGAGAGCGGCTATAGTGAATGCAGGGTCCGGGGAGACCAGATATAGTGAATGCAGGGTCCGGGGAGAGCGGATATAGTGAATTCAGGGTCCGGGGAGAGCGGATATAGTGAATGCAGGGTCCGGGGAGAGCGGATATAGTGAATGCAGGGTCCAGGGAGAGCGGATATAGTGAATGCAGGGTCCGGGGAGAGCGGATATAGTGAATGCAGGGTCCAGGGTTTAGTAACACTTTAAGGGTTCCTCTTTCTAGGACAAATTGTAGTCAGTCTGAAAGCAAACAGCTTATGCTGTATCCATTATTGGAATCCCCATAATGGTTTATGAAGCCAGTGACCTGGGTGCTCCTCATAAAGTATTTAATTTGTGGAATAAAGGTATTAAACTAAAGTAACAATATTAAATATTATGAAGATAACAAAATGGGAAAAAAAATGGACTCAAGCCCAATATAGTTCGCTATTCAGTAGGTTGATCCAGGGAATATCTGATTGCCTCTCGGGGGATCAGGAAGGAATTTTTTTCCCTGCAGGAGCAAATTGGATCATGATTTGCTGGGGGTTTTTTTTGCCTTCCTCTGGATCAACTGTGGGTGTAGGATTATAACTTTTTTTTTTAATGGTTGAACTGGATGGACTTTTGTCTTTTTCCAGCCAGACTAACTTGTAACTATGTGAACTCCAGCCAAGCGCCTAAATGCACATAAAACATGCATGGGAGCTATTTTGATTACCAGAGGATTTGTATTTCTGTCTATCTAGCCCTAAAATTAAGGCTGGCCATACATTATAAAAAATTTTCTTGAGATTTTTGCTTTAGATTTACCAAAATGGATTATAACTTTTTTTTTTTTCTGTGGTTGAATTGGATGGACTTTTGTCTTTTTTCAGCCAGACTAACTATGTAACTATGTAAAAACCATATAATAGGAGGTCAAACCCAAACAACACTTTCAATTGTATCCAATTGGGCAGGCCCTTGCACTACACAGTTGACGGTATATCTAAAGGAAATTGGACAGAAAATTGTATAGTGTATGGCCAGCCTAATGCCGGCCATAGACGGTTTGAAAATCGGCCGATTTTTCGTCTAAAAGAAAAATCGGCTGATTTTCGCACTATTAGTGGGTTAATTGGTTGGCTGGTTTTTGGATTTTTTGCACTTTGAGATTATCGGTTATGTTGGAAAATTTGCGGGCAATTTGGAAAAATGGCCGATTTTCCTGGCAATGATGGCCAAATCGGACGATCGTTTAAACGATAAAAAATTTGCGCATGACCTGCAAGTAACAGAAGTTTGGCTGTTATATGGGGTGAACTTTATGATTTAGTCGACCGATTTTTGAATCATTGGTGGTAACGTCGGCTTAACGAACGTTTATCGTTCGCAAAAATTGGCAGATGTTCGACCCGTCTATGGCCTTCATTACTCAGCCCTGCAACACAGCACAGCCCTGTCTGGCAGGGTAGCCGACCTGATTTTTCTCTGCTGAAGTTAGGTAGCAGACTTTTACCTCCCTCCAGGTTGGGGGAGCAAATGGAGAAGCAGCAAACTTATGAGGCTCATATCTCAGTCACTCTGCTCTCTCCTCCTGTCAGTATGTCCCGTCAGCACACGAGTACTGCAGTGCAGTTTACTGTTTTTTGTGCTGCTTCTGCTTCTTGCAGTCTGAGCTCTGCTCTAGCAAAGGGCTAAAACTAGATGAAATGTAGATACTTACACTGCTTGCATTTAGAAATTTGCCATCATTCCTGTCTTTTATATCCGGTCATCAAAAAATATTTATATCTCCCTGGAGTTCAGCTTTCATTGCAGCATGCTTGAGACTTGTGTTGCTTACCAGGGGTGGACTGACAACTCATGGGGCCCCCGGGCAATAGGGGATCATGGGGCCCCTGTGTCCTGGCCCACACTCAAACCACACCCAAAAAAAACCTATGAAAGGTACCAGGGGCATCTCATGGGGCCCCCTACTGACCCCGGGCCCTCGGCCAGTGCCCGAGTTCCCAAATGGTCAGTCTGCCCCTGTTGTTTACCAACCTCCTCGACTTTGTATATTCTTCCCCATTTATACCCCAGAATCTGATTTCTGTGGAGTTCTCTTAGGTGGTTTACATGTATCAGTATTATCTCCGTTTTTTGTTGTATTGTCAATAAAATTTGTAAAACACGAAATGGACGCAATGCTAGTCTGGGCCCCTTTTATTTAATTTTTGTACATTTTCCTATCGATCTGAGGCTTATACAGTGAAGGAAATGCGTATTTGAACCCCTGCTGATTTTGAATGTTTGCCCACTCACAAAGAAATGATCAGTCTAAAAATCGAATGTTCGGTGTATTGTAACACTGAGAGACAGAATAGCAACAAAAAATTCAGCAGAAATGCATGTCTAACAAATGATGACTGATTTCCATGTTCATGAGGGAAATAAGTATTTGATCCCCTATCATTCAGCAGGATTTCTGGCTACCAGGTGTCTTTCATACAGGTAACAAGCTGAGATTAGAAGCAGTCTCTTAAAGGGAGTGCTGCTAATCTCATCTTTGTTACCTGTATAAAAGACACCTGTCCACAGGAGCAATCAAACAATCTGATTCCAAACTCTCCACCATGGCAAAGACCAAAGAGCTGTCCAAGGATGTCAGGGACAAGATTGTAGACCTACACAAGGCTGGACTGGGCTACAAAACTATCTCCAAGCAGCTTGGTGAGAAGGTGACAACAGTTGGTGCAATCATCTGTAACTATATCCTCTTAAAAGGCAACTTTATGTCTGTTAAAGTGGTTGCAAACCTGTGAAATGAAAAATGAATACAATATATCCTTCTATAGTGTGCACTTGCCTCAGTCCAAGCACCAAGTGTGATTTCTGTCTGCTGTGTCCTTCATCTGCTATCTGCATGAGTAATTTCTGACAATCTGTGCTGACACCAGGAAATCCTTGTGCCCCCTCCCCTCCAGCACACAGCAGGTGATTGACATCCTCAGTTGTGCATGTTTCTCTATGAGACTGTGTAAAGGGGGGGTGTACTCTCCCTCCACTCAGGTCTCAGATTTCACTCAGCTCCCTGCTCTATGCAGTGCAATGTGTGACATCAGATTCCCGTCCCCAGCCTTATGGAGCTCAAAAATTCAGTACTTTGAGTCTGGGTTCACATATATGCGGTGCGGTATATCGCATGTGATTCGCACAGGAACCGCACCGCATCGCATTCCTGTGCAAATCACATGTGATTTGTGTGCGGTGCGGTCGGAGTCGTACATTTTGTATGGCTCTAATCACACTGCACCCACACCAAAAACATGCAGGGCCCTTTTCTGGGTCCGCACTAGAATCGGATCACATGGGTATTCACATCTATGCAACCCGATTCTGCACATCGCACTGCATTTTCCAGACCGCTTTCGGGGTGTTGTTAAATCAACATACACACCCGCAGCAGTTCGCTTGAACGGGGTGCGATTCTGATGCGGTGCGTAATTCGATGCAAATTCTGCACTGCATCAGTGTGAACCAGGGCTTAAGGTTGTAGAGAAGAGAGTGCTGCAGATAAACAGGTACAATGTATTTGTTTCAGCTTAAATAGTTAATTGCTTAGCTAATTAAACCCAGTAAAGATCGGTCTCAGCCTGTTGGCACTTAGATTGGGGTCCCGCAAGCTGGAAAATCTTTGTGCATTGTGAGGCTGAGTGTGGCATTGTTGCGTATCAGTGACAGCGCAATGTGAGGTTGACCAGTCATTTGTCACAAGTTGGTGAAAAGGACAGTGGTCCAACACGCATTTGTCACAGGGAGGGCTCAGTCCATGTTTGTCAGCCTCAGCTCTGTTCCTGTGTGCCGTGTGAAGGGGATGGGGGGGTTCCTTCCCTCCAATTAGCTCTCAAAGCTCTCCTCACTGGTGTTACCTTAGCTCCCTGCCCCCTGCTTTTCAGAGCTGAGAGATCCTGTGTCAATTCTGCACTTTTAATGGATGTAGGTGAAAGAAGCTGTAGATAAACAGGTACAACTTATGTAGGGGGATTTGTTTCATCTTCGTGTATCGCCAGTCACTTCACTGGGTATATATCAGGGTTTACAACCAATGTAAAGCTTAACTCCAGCCAAAACCTTTTATCAATGTTGTATGTATGGAGGGGGGCAGCACAGTGGCTTAGTGGTTAGCACTTCTGCCTTGCAGTAATTGGGTCATGGGTTCAATTCCCAACCATGGTGCCTCCTGCATGGAGTTTGCATGTTCTCCCTGTGTTCGCAGGGGTTTCCTCCCACAATCCAAAGACATGCTGGTAGGTTAATTGGCTCCTGTTTAAATTGTCCTAGTTTCATCCCTGGCCATGTGGGATCTCCTGCATGGTAGGGGTTGGGGAAAGACCTGGCAACCTACCCTGTAAAATAATTGCTAAGAGAATTCATGGAAAAAGTCACTTACAAGTGACGGTCCATGCAATCGCCAAGGGTCGGATACAACTGAAATGGATAGATAGAGAGATATAGATGTATGGAGAAGGGTTAGAACCTCTGTAAGGTCTTCAATGCTTGGAGAGAGAAAAAAAAAGGAGGTTTTGAGGCGCATACTGCATTGTCATAAGATCCAGGTAGTAGGCGTCTTCTGGGCCGTATAGTTTAGGACACAGAACGGGGGTGCCCATTGTACACAATAAAGGGGCAAAACATGCAAATAGGAAACATATCATACTTTGGACCATCCAGCCTGTCTATGAGCAAAAAAAGGAGAATTCATAGGTACAAGCCATATTGTAATTAAAAGTTCTTAAAATGTACCTTTCCAGTTTAATATGTATGGTAAGACCGAGAGTTGTAAAATGTGAGCTGGTATTCAAAAAAATGTCTTCATCCAAAAAGAAAAATGTTCAAATTGTCTTCTGTATGTTCAGCCTCACCAGTGGTGCCTGGTCTGCATAGTCATTGTCCTTGTGCTATAGGTCAAGATGAAGGTCCCCATGAGTTCTCCCATGCTTGATGTTCCACCTTCCAGCAGTTTTAGTTCATGTACTCAATAGAAACCAAAAATGTAGGTGCCCTTGGGAACACAGCATGGGTGTTGATAGGCCTAGAAATTAGACAGTCTTATTCATGGTTCTCCGGGATTCAGGTCTCAACTCTATCTGTCATAAAAATAAATGTCCTCATCCAGGCAATGCATAGAAATGGTGGACATATCCTGAATCCCAGAGAACCATGAAGAAGACTGACTGATTTCTAGGCCTATCAACAAGCATGCTGTGTTCCCAAGGGCACCTACATTTTTGGTTTCTATTGAGTCTTCTTCATGGTTCTCCGGGATTCAGGATATGTCCACCATTTTTATGCATTCCCTGGTTGAGGACACTTATTTT